CAATCTTGACAACCATTCTGACTAATTTGTACTGTTTTATCTTTTTTCCTTTTTTTGTTGTTTTTTATGAATACTGTATTTAGCAATATAAACCTGAAATTCAACAAAAAAAGAAAGAAAAAGCTCTCTAACAGATGAAAATATGATGTACGTCGTAATTGACTTACACAATTAAATAATTCATAGATTACCATAGCATTAATCTAAATTATCCAGAACTTGATTAAATAAAAAGTCCAACAAAAAGTTTTTATTGTAATAAAATATGTTAGATGTGTGTTAAAACTTATTTCAATATGTAAAATTTTAAAAAGAGGTCTGTGTGTATAAATGCGATTCGAATGATTGTTTATTCGATGTATAAGGAAAATAGTTCTTTCATCTGACGAATGCTTATAAACAAAGAGATTTTTTTTTTCTTATAAAAAGAAGTATAAAAAATAGTCTATCTATAGGTTTGCAGTATTTTTAAAGTTGGTTCGAATGATGTAAATGAATACTTCTTTTATCTTGTTTAAAAAAAGAAGATACGTTTACAAGATACACTAGTAACATCGGAACTATGTTATACGAATTTCAAGCAAACCATTGCATATTAAGACTAACAAAAAAAGTTCATAAGATAGAGCTTTTTACTTTGATTAAGAATATAATATAAATAAAATTTTAAAAGCCAATAATTAGAATGGCAAAACGTTATTTCCATAAAGGGGTTATATATCTATAGCTAGAATTTTCTAACCGTTTTTGAATTTTTTCCATGAAAAAAGCACGAATTTTTTTCTCAGAACAGATTTTCTTAGAAAGGTTTATGAGCTTCATGAAACGATATTATAAACTATTTAAAACAAAAATTTTTACTGAGGTTTTGAATTTCCGTTATCGTACCATAGTGATGGTACAAGTTGGCTTCGCATTGGATGGAATATAGGGATGTCAAAATCTTTAATTAATTTTTTTAACACTTTTGTTGTATTTATCTGTAGAATGGTTAAAAATAACTCGAACCACCATTGCTATGTTTATTGTTGAAAAATATTTGTGCCATTACTTTTCACTATTTGATGATACTTTCTATTTAGCTTATCAAACAAATGTAAAATATTAACCTCATTACAATCCACGATATAGCTACAGTTTTTCTAAGCGTTAAAAACATTTTGTAGGGGAAAATTAGCGCCCTGTATACTTTCTATATAGTTCAAGGTAGTCCTATATATTTTTGGCCTTTAAATTCCTATATATTTCTATATTTTTTCGCAAGGCTGCTGCGAGGCCACGGTACACGTGACAGTTGTCATAATAATAAAAAAACAGTTCCACTTTGGCGGTAGGACGATCCTTTATTTGACACAATTGATCATTTTCATTATACAAATGACCCTTTTTTTGGTGGCTCAATAAACCATTTTTACGGTACAGTCAACTATTTCTATGGGACAGTTGACCATTCTTATTGCTCAAATGAACATATCTCTGTCACAATCATCGATGTCGGTTTTAGACGTAGTCATTGCTATGGCAGAAATCTCCATCCTTAGTTGTTGGAATCAATAAGGCATATACTTTATGATAGAGATTAGCATCTTTCAATATTCTGTATGAACTGTTTGAGTAAACCCGTAAAATATTATGGGGGACATGTTACAAGTATTATTAATTCCTCTTGAACGCATCATCATACAGAATATTGAAAGATGCTAATCTCTATCATAAAGTATATGCCT